CATAGTAGTCACGTGACTCGCTGACGCAACACAGAAAAGGCCATACTACTACACTGATTAGGCTAATAATTATTCAATACGACAAAGGTTAAGTAGACTTTTATAAATTTTACAATCCTTTAAACGTTTTCTAAGCTTCTTAAACTACTCTCCAGCTAAATTTAAGGCCGTAATATTACACTGATTAGGCTAATAATTATTCAATACGACAAAGGTTAAGTAGACTTTTATAAATTTTACAATCCTTTAAACGTTTTCTAAGCTTCTTAAACTACTCTCCAGCTAAATTTAAGGCCGTAATATTACACTGATTAGGCTAATAATTATCCAATAAGACAAAGGCTAAGTAGACTTTTATAAATTTTACAATCCTTTAAACGTTTTCTAAGCTTCTTAAACTACTCTCCAGCTAAATTTAAGGCCGTAATATTACACTGATTAGGCTAATAATTATCCAATAAGACAAAGGCTAAGTAGACTTTTATAAATTTTATAATCCTTAAAACGCTAAGCTTCTTACAAGTTACACTACTCTTCAACTTATAATGGCTGGAGACGGCTTGAATGGGTAATGAAGAAAAACTTTAATATAAGTTTAACATAACAGCAAATGTACAACGTTTCGACAAGGTTTTGTCATCATCAGGCCCATTCAAGCCGTCTCCAGCCATTGTTAGTCTCAAAGTGGGTTCCTCGTTATCGAACTATTCAACTTAATCTAATAAGCAAGAAAAAATAGTAAAGTAATGACTAATAGTTATAAATATAGTAAGAAGTACTTTTCTCACCCGTAAAATAATTTAATAAGCATGATGTTCGAAAAACACGTAGGTTCAAGAAGTCTTGATAGAAATGAATAAAACCCTATAACTCTGGGTTATAGGGTTTTTATTAATAGCTTAATAAACATAACCCTAGAGTAAATATTAAATTTCTAAAACACCCCGTATTAAAATATGTTTTTAGCATATGCCCGAAAATAGGGCTGTGAAATGTCTTTTTAAACCATTGTTTTTTAATACGTTTATGACTGATATAAGGTTATTATTGAGTGTGTTTTTTTAATTTCGCGCAAAGATACACGAGGGCTATTTGCGCTACCGTCCCTAGTTT